CACACTATGATCAACAAATACATGAAAAGATGCTCAACAATCAGCCATAAAGAAAGTGTATAAAAAACTACAATGGTGGCCCTCATACCTACAAAGATGGCTAAAAGCAAACAGTCATTAACAAATATTGGAAAACATACAGAGAAATCATAGCCCTACACTTTGCAAAAGTTTGTCAAATTCTCAAGAAGTTAAACAGAATTATAGTCCAGTAATTGTATCCATAAGCATATATCTCTAAGAATTAAAGACAAGTGTTTAAACAAAAATTTGTAAATGAGGCTGGGGATACAGCACCTGCCTGGCAAGTGCAAGGTCTTGAGTTTGATTCCTAGTACAAAAATATTTGTAAATGAACGTTCTCTGTAGCATTATTTGTTAAGAACCAAGAAATAAAAACTCCCAAGCTTAGCATACATGTGGCCCCGAGTTTGACCCCTGGCACCCCACACAGCAGAGAAAACACTTCAACTCACGAAAGTGGAAATACTGCAAATCCTATCAACGGATGAATAAATGGATAAACCAAACATGATCTATCCACACAATGGAATACTGCTCAGTCATAAGAAGGAATATGGTACTGAAACATACTAAAACATGGATAAACCTTAAAAATATCATGCTAAGTGGGGAAAAAAAAGCCAGATACAAAAGGCAAAATATTGCATGATTCTGCTTATATAATACATCCTCAACAGACAAACTACAGGGACAGAAAGCAGACTAGTAGAAACCAAGAGTGGGAGAAGAAGCTGAGAAGGGATATTAATAGATGTGGGGTTGCTTTTCTAAGGTAATAATGTTCTAGAATTAGATATTGGTAATAGGGGCTGGGGGTTTACCTCGGCGGCATAAGTGTCTGCCTGGCAAGCGGCAGTCGTGAGTTCGCTCCCCGGTACCAAAATATTGGTAATGGTGGCACAACTCTGTGAATATACTAAAAATGCTGCATTGTATATTTCTAAGGTGTAAATTTCATGGTATGCAAATTATCTTAAGAAAATACTTGCAAACAAACAAACCAAGGCTCACCTTTGTAGAATGAATTATTATAGAGCCCATGTTAAGAGCCCTGGAATATGAGAAATTTTTAACTGCATCTTCTGAGTGTCTGAGACTAAATAAACATTGAAAAATTAAGAGTTAGTCTGTATACAGGGTGTTCCCAGCCTAGTGAAAGAGCACTGCACACAAGCAAACAATGGTAATATGATACAATAAATACAATTGTACACAGGGTATAAAATACTACAGCCAAGAAAATAAACTTCAAGTGGATTGAAGCCATAAATACAAGAATAAATGGGGGCTGGGGGTTTAGCTCAGCGGCATAAGTGCCTGCCTTGAAAGCAGGCAGTCGTGAGTTCGATCCCTGGTACCGATAAAAAGGAAAAAGACAAAAAAAAAAAAAACAAGAATAAAAATGCCTTAAAAACTATTAAAAACAAAAGATCCAATCCAAAAATGGGCATCTGAGATGAACACACACTTCCAGATGAAGAAATATAGACAACAAATAAATACATGAAGAAATGTTCAAATCACTGGTCATTCAAGAAGTACAAATTAACATAACACTTAGATTCCATCTTACTCCAGAATGAATGGCTGTTAACAAGAAATAACCAATAACAAATGTTGGCAGGGCTGTGGGGAAAACGGAACCCTTCTCCAATGTTGGTGGGAATGTAGTCTGGTACAACCACTGTGGAAATTGGTATGGAGACTCCTCAAAACACCAGGATTGAAGGTCCCATTCAACCCAGCTATTCCCCTTCTGAATATTTTCCCAGAGGAATTGAAAAACATCATGCCACAGCCATATATGTGCACTCACGTTTATAGCAGCACAATTTGTAATTGTTAAATTTTGGAAACAACCAAAATGCCCATAAACCAAGGAATGGATAAAAAAAAAGATGTGGTCTTTTTACGCAATGGAGTATTACTCAGCTATAAACTAAAAACACAAGCCATGAGTAGTGGTACAGGCCTGTAACCTCAGCTCTCTGGGAGGCTGGGACAAGACAATTGAAACTTCAAGTCCAGCCTGAATAACTCAGTGATTTAGCAAGAGTGTCTCATGAGAAAACATGGATGAAAAAAAAAAAAAAAAACCCAAATATAGATGGGTGGGGATGTTACTCGGTGTGAAGGCACTTCGTTCAATCCCCAGTCTCAATCTCTCTCTCTCTCTCTCTCTCTCTCTCTCTCTCTCTCTCTCTCTCTCTCTCACACACACACACATACACACACACACACACACACACACACACACACACACACACACCCCTGTTAGAATACTTTGGAGAATACTTTTCTGACCCAGGGTCAAACTGGAATTTTTAAAGACACAAAAACTACAAACAATCTGAAAAAAGAATTTTAAATTAGGCTTCATTAAAATTAACCTAAAAGTCCAAAAAAAGAAATGACAAAAGAACTAACAAACCAAAAGAGAACAGTCAACATATATACGTCAATTCACGGAGCGAAAACATAAATGGCCAAGAAATGTAAGAGGTTCAACTTCACGAGCATCAAAAAAATAGAAACATTAAAAACAAGATTCCAGGGCTGGGGATTTAGCTCAGCGGCATAAGCGCCTGCCTTGCAAGCAGGCAGTCGTGAGTTCAATCCCTGGTACCGATAAAAACGAAAAAGACAAAAAAAAAAAAAAAACAAGATTCCAGGGGCTGGGGATTTAGCTCAGCGGCATAAGTGCCTTTCCTGCAAGCGCGTGATCGTGAGTTCGATCCCTGGTACCAGTAAGAAAAAAAGGATTCCATTCATACTGATCAGATTATTAAAAATCAGTATTAGCAAATATTGGTAAAACATGAAAAGAAAGCAATCTGGCAATAGCAATAACAAAGGATTCACTGGGAAGGCATTTAACAGCTAAGTAGAAAGACTAGAAGTTAAGAGGTAAAAAAAAAAGGAAGAGCTTGAGAGCCTGGCACTGAAGCTGGAGAGCAGCTTCTAAGACAAGGAAGGGGAGAGGGAGAGAGAGGGTTCAGAGAAAAGGAAACAAGAGTCTCTTTTAATGAGTGAAGTTGCAATTAAGGTATCTCAATGAAGGAAACTTGCCTTGTAAGAATCTGTGGTTTAAAGGCTCAAAGAACACACTAAGTGAGTTGCTCCCTGAATTTTTTTTTTTTTTTTTTTTTTTTTGTACTGGGGATCAAACTCACAACCTTGCACTTGCCAGGCAGGTGCTTATTCTGCCAAGCTAAATCCCCAGCTCTCCCTGAATTCTGTGCTAGGGAATGGATTAGTAGTAGAGATGTCTCCTGCTCCACAAAAGGTCAGCTATGAGACAGTGAGCAGAGTTCCAGAAAACATTTTCCTCTCTGCCAAATTTTAAAACTACTTAGTATACCTGTTAAGTAATGTCGTGTTTTTGAAAAAGTCAAACCATCTAGCAGCCTACTCTTCTCATTAAAAGAAAGAGGATCAAACAAGCCAGGTGAAGGGACCAAAGTAAATGAATGAAAAAGCAAATGTCAGTAATGGATTGATTATAAGCTCCCCAGTAAAACAGTCACCATATATTCCAAGCTTATTATGTAAATTACATTGTTAGTATTATAATAAACATAAAGTTTACTCTAAATTACACAAATAAGTGAAAAAAACATTATTACTGTTTTTGTTTTTCAGAATTCCAATGAATAATGTAGATGGAATGAAAGAGAAACTCACCTTTTGTCAAATACCACATTATGAACTTTTACAGATAATATTTGTACTAATATTTGTATTAAGATTAGACGATAGTTTTATAGCAATGTAATTTCTTGGTGTTGATAATTCTGTCATAGTTTTCTAAGATACTAATATCTGAAGAAGCTGAACACAATGTTCTACATACATTTTGCAAATTTTATAAAGACTGACATATTAAAATGAAGATAAAAATTAATTAAAAAGAAAAGTGAATGAAAAATAACACCTGAATAATAAGGAAAATGGGTCTTACAAACAGATACACTTAGTATCACAGGAAAGGCACTCAGAGGTCTCTACTCAAGCAGAAAAACACAGTGTAGTCAAGTAGATGCAGCAAAGACACAGAAGCCAAAATGACAGTCATTGGGATGTGACACCTCAAAGAGATGGAAGAGAAACTGAAAGTGGCCAGAACCACACACAGTAGCATGTAGCTGTATCTCAGCTATTCGGGAGGAGAACATTGGAGCCCAGAAGTTTGAGGCCAGCCTAGACAACCTAGTGAGACCCCATTTAGAGTTAATTACAGTACTTAAGAGGCCAGTTCTTGAAGCTCTGTAGCCAGAGGCTAGCACTGTACTCACCAGGACACATAATAAACTAGTATTGTGCAGGGGACCCACACACCCACAAGTTAGATGACCTTGGAGAAGTTATTCCAACACTTTGAGATCCATCTTGAAGAAAGTTCACGCAACCCTCCTCTCAAGGTTACTGCAAGAGTAAAACAATGCAAGCCAAAACCACACAGGTCTGCGCCTCTTTTGTGAATTAATTTTCTCTTGTGTCTTACCCATAGCCTCACTACAGTGTTTTGTGATGTTTGACACTTTTTGTCTCCTAATTGGCAACAAGCACTTTTCTAAACCTACCAAGTCCACCATGTAAAATTATTTGAAGATTATTAATGCCTCAGTGGAATTACGGGAGATTTTTTTTTTTTCTTCCTAAATTTAAGAGAGCAATGGAGGGGTTTGGAGAGTAGCTCAACAGTACATGTGTGTGGCCCTGCATTCAATCCCTAGCATTAAAAAAAGAGAGAGAGACAGTAATCAAAAATTATAATGGAAAATGAATAACAAAGGAAATTTTGCTTTAATCAAGGGTTTCACAAAGTACTGTAGTTCAAATCCACCCATCTCTTAATACAGTCACATTAGCGTGGTCACACAAGAAAATATACCAGCTATAATTAATGCTGTATGTCTTGGTCAATTCTTTAGTTCTATTAACATGGCAAAGAGAGTGACAAGAAAAGGACCTACCTCTACACTGTTTGCAATATAACGGCTGTCACCTTCAACTTTTACAAAGAAGTCATAATAACCACTGGAAAATTTGACATTCATGAAGTTTAGTTCAAAAATATCCCTGTTAAGAATGACAGCAGGGTTAGCAAGAATTCATATAGTAAGGTCATGAACAAATAAAAAAACTACAAAGTATCTCCTTCAGACAATACTGGGCAAACAACTCTTTTCAACCTGCCAGCCTACTTGGGCAACATCTGGTTTACTCACAGATTACAGTGTGAGCTTAGGATAAAGACTCTCCTAAGCTTCCAAAGCTTTCTTTCTTTTGGCCTCCCTATAAAATTTCACCTCTCTCTAGTAGCTATCTAAAATTTAATGCAAAACAGGTATACCTATGGTTATGTTGCTTTTTGTAGTCTGGGGATGGAACTCAGGGATTCTTGTATGCTAGACAAGCACTCTACACTGAGCTAAATGCCCAGTCCTGAATAATGTTAAAAACAAAAAGAAAAGGAAAAAAAAAGAGAGATTTAAACTATCAAAGATATTACTGAGGGGTAGTATAATGGTGGCTTTTTTTTTTTTTTTGGTATTATTTCTATGTTTTGTATATTACTCAAAAAACGATATATCCAACTGTTATAAAAAATAATTCTTATTTTAAAGAGAAAAAAGGTAGAGAATTCCTAATTCCAACTATATAGAAAAATTCCAGTGTAGTCTACTGTTCTACTGCAAAAGCAAAAATGATTTTGTTTTTTAAATTTTAAAGTTCTTTCTCTTTTTTTTTTTTTGGTACTAGGAATTGAACTCACAACCTTGTGCTTGTCAGGCAGGCACTTAAGCCACTGAGCTAAATCTCCAGTTTGCTTTTTAAATTTTATATATCACTTGTGAATCTTTATGATTGTCCAAGAAATGCATTCTCTAATATTCTAGCCTATTAGTCTCAAAATGTACTAATTTAACGCTTAATAAAGTTTCATATAAAAATTGACCTATAAATGTGAAAAATATTACAAGCATAGTCAAGTGTGATGGTATATGCCTGTAACCTCAGCATACAGGGAGGCTGAGACAGGAGGATGGCAAATTCAAGCAAAGCCTGGACAACTTAAGAGAGACTGGGTCTCAAAATAAAAGGCTGAAAACAGGCTGCTGATGAAAAGCAAACACCCTGGACTGAGTCCCAAGTACTATTAGGAAAAAAAAAATGTGCTAATACAAAGTCATTAAAAAAAATTGTCACAGCCAGGAAGTTATCTCAGTGGTATAAGTGCCTGCCTGGTAAGCACAAGGTTATGAGTTTAATCCCTGGTACAAAAAACAAAACACTGGTTTATAAAAAATAACTGTTGCCAGGAATGGGGTATATACCTATAATCCCAGAACTCAGGAAGCCGAGACAGGAGGATCACTATGAGTTTGAGGTCAGACTAGATTGCATAGTGAGTTCAAGGTTAATCTGAACTACATGGGATGCTATTTCAAAAAAAAGATTGTAGAATATTTAATCCTATGAGGAAATGTTCATGACATATTGCTACAGAGAAAGCATAATCCTAACTTAATTTTTAAAAATGCATTTATATGCGTAGAAAAGACTGACCAAAAAAGGATTATATAATGTTAGCAGTAATTATCTCTGGGTAGTAGAATTTTGAGTAGTTCAAATTTTTATTTTTATCTTTTTTTTTTGATACCAAGAATTAATCTTAGTACCTTGCACTTGCCAGGCAGTCGCTGTGCCACTGAGCTGTATACCTGGCCCTTAGTATTATTTTTTTAAGACAGGGTCTAAATTTCCCAAACTGGCTTCAAACTCACAATCGTCCTGCCTCAGCTTCCCAAGTGATGGAAGTACAAAGACATGCCACTGAACCCTGCTAACATTTTATTTTTTGTGCTTTCTAAATCTGTAGTATTCATACATCAGAAAACATATTTATAGGGTCAATGATTTAGTTCTGCATAAGCGCCTGTCTGGAAAGGTGAGGTCGTAAGTTCAATCCCCAGTACCAGAAGAAAAAAAAAAAGAAAAAAGCAATTTATAACACATTGACAAGACCTAGCCAATAAGAAATAACAAAATCAAAGTTGTTTTAGCTTTAGAAATTCTTTGCTCATATTGACCTACAGGACTTTTTCAAGTTCAGGCAAATTTGGTTTTACGATCTTGGTAGTACCCACACCAATCTGTTCTACTAGCTGAAAACTAACTTTCTAAAACAAACAAGGAGGGAACCATGCAAAACTAGTCCTACCAGCACTTACCCTACAAGAGTGAAAGGGGTCCTCTGGAGGACTGTGGCTCTGGAAGCAACAGATTTAGCGTGTTCTAGTTTAACAGTGGCCTGAGTCAGAGGCTGTGACAGAACATTGGTGACTTGCAACTGGAAGTAAATAAACAAAAATAATTAGCAACAAAGGATGCATGCAGTGGTTGAGAATTTTGTCTCTATTGTAGTTTATGGGAAATAGGACAAATGTGTTACATCACAGAATTTTCACTGACCTTTGATCTGCTGGCTATCAAGAGATAAAATTTGGTGAAAACACAACTGAATTAGGATTGAGATAGATAAAATGCTAGAACTGAAGAGGATCCTAAAGATGACCTTGCCCAGTTATCTCTTTTCAGAGAACTGAACTAGAGCCCAGAGAAAGAAAATGACTGGTTTCAAGTTATAGTTATAATTTCCTTCTTTCTCATCTCCCGTTCTATTTACTCTAATACAGCATTAAAAAAAAAAAAGGCAGGCCTGGAAGTGCAAGCCTAGAACCCCAGTAGGCTGCGAGGCTGAGCAAAAAGATTTTGAGTCCAAATCCATGCGGTCAATTTAATAATTTAGCAAGATCCTATCTCACTGTCTCAAAATAAACAACAGAAAAAATTGGTAGGTATGTAGCTCAGTGCAAAGGCCCTGGATTCAAACTCTAGCATTGGGGGAAAAAATCACTACAAGAAATACTTCACGCCAGGCAGGGTGGTATGTGCCTGTAATCCCAGCTCTTGGGGGGCTATGGCAGAAGGATCACTGCAAATTCAAGCCATAGTGAAACCCTATCTCTAAAAACAAAACAAAGCAAAATAAACAAATTTTAAAAAAGAAAGAAAAATACTTCAGGAAGGTATCAGCCAATGAAGAAACACTAATAACATTAAACACCAACATTTGTTCCAAGTCAGTTATATTCTGGACATTGGTCTTGGTCCTTTACAGATAAATTCCCATCAATGAGATGGATAGCAAATTTGCTGTTTTGTAGATAAAGAAAGGCCACAAGAGGTTAAGGACTGCCAAAGGTAGAGAGATTCGTAGTTGAGCCAGGATTTACATACCAGCCTTACCCAGGGTGAGAGGCAACCCTTTTTCCATTTTGTTCTCTTAGTGTGTCACTTCCCTCACAAAGAAATGTTAATCTGCTTACTTTTCCTACTCTTTGTCAATGGGGGATTTGGAATTTTGACACAGGGTACTTCCTCAGAAGGAGGGGAGAGGGTCCACCAGACAGACAGTGCTCTCCATAAACAATGTTAATTTCTTATGATGATCTAGACCTGGGCTCACTGTTGAGTGAGAGGAAGAGGTAAAAAGATAATCAGCACCAGGAGAAAAGAATACTATTTTATTTTTAAAAGAATATTACTTTGCAATTAAAACAGTTGTCTTAAAACAATGTATTTGTAAAGTTCTAACTCTGGGAAATACTTGACCCTTTACCTTTAGAACTATGAACCTAGAAACACACTTTTCTTGCACTTAATTTAATGAAATTCTGTACTATGTAAAATCCTCAGAGCTGTGTATGTGTGTATGACAGATTTGCAGGGTTCTGTGGCTTGCTCCCCAGTGGTCATTATCCCCGCATCTCCAGGGGAAGGGGAATGAGCCCTGCACGTCCTCATGTGGGCTTCTGAGAGCTGTGGATCACAGCCTTCAGATTTCTGAGCGGCTCATGCTGGAAATGGCATCAGGGTGGCAGGGAGGTCATACCCGCAGGATAGACTGTTCCTGCGTGTCAGCAGCAGAACCTTCATGCACAACCACAACTGGCACATGGTAGCGGTTCTGAGAGAGGGCGGCTGCAGCGGAGGCCACGCTGAAGGCTTCAGAGAGTGATTCAAAGTTCTTCTTGCTGAAGATTGTGTTCATTAGCTGGATGACCTGATCCTGAAAGAAAAGGAAAGGCAGCTGAGCTCTCTCTCCACGGGAGATTCTAGTCATCCCCATCCCCACAGATTGTAGTCATCCCTCGTTTCAAGTGTGCTGAGGCACACCAAGCCCTTAACTCAAACTGATAGAGGAAAGGAAAATACGCATTTAAACTTGAACATTGAGCTCAACTCTATTTGTCTTCTAATGTAAAATGAAATTCATATAGCTAGGCATGGTGGTGCATGCTGCTATTCCAGCACTCAGAAAGCTGAGGCAGAACAAACACTGTGAATTCAAGACCAGCCTGGGCTACAAAGTGAGCTCAAGGACAACCTGAACTGCATAGTGAGACCCTGTCTCAAAAAGTCAATCAATCAATCAATCAATCAATCAATCAAATGAAATTCACGTATCTGTCAATGTTTTAGTGAATATTTACTATAAAAAAAAAACAGTATTTCCAAGAGAAATATTGAAATATGAAATTTCTTTTGGTTTGGTGGGTTTTTTTTTTCTTTTTCGAGATAGAATCATGCTATTAGTTCAGGAGGGCCTCAAACTCAATGGCAAGCCTCCTTCCTCAGTCTCCCAAGTGCTGGGATTATGGGTGTATGCCACCCCAGCCAGCAATATATGTGAAATTATATCTTGAAAAGTAAAAATTTACGAAGTATAAAATTCACATAACATTAACTATCTGTTAAACACCTACACATACACTCATCATGACAGGTATTTTTACATGCACTGCCTTGAATCTTGACAAAAACCGGTATTTCCAATGTTTTCCAAAAGAAGAAACTAAAACAGGTCAAATAATTTTAACAAGTTGTAATGAAAGGAAAGAGGGCAAGGAGAGAGGAAGGGAGGGATACAGGCAAAATTCAAATGTAGGTTTGTTCTCACTGAAGTCCTTCCACAAGAAAATTTGTTCTTTCCTGATTCCCATAACCCTCCCAGCTAAACCATCTTCCCTCCTAGTCAACTGCTAAGAAGTAATTGGGACTAAGGTTGTTTTTAAGAGCAAACTTTATAGCCAAAAGGTATAGTGGAAAGAAAGTAAAATACTTCTCCACTAAGAGCTAATGCGTTGCTTAGAGGGAACACAAAGCAATTTTTAAAACAAATGCAACCTAAAAGGGATTACTTAAATTCTGGAGGTTGTTTGCTTAGTAGGAAACATTTTCCACTTCTATAAGTTCTGTTTTTTAAAATCTACCATCTAACAAAAGAGCTCCCTTGTTCCTGACAATGTTATTCATAGTCAACAGGAAATAATTTTCTTTAATTGTACCAATTACATTTTTCCATCAGTAGGCTGTTGACATGTTAAAATGTAACTGTTCACCAGAATAGTTGTGTCAAAATCAGTGACAGCAAAATTACTTCAGCAAAATACCTAGTTAGAAAAAGCTTAAAAATAAAGGAAGAAAAAGTTTAGGTTATGGATGCAGAATGTCATCATTTTTTTAAAGTAGTATGAGGGACTGAATACAGTCTTTACACTAGGCTACATCCTCCATTGCTAGTCCCTCTTCCGTATATATATATATTTTAATATTTAAAAGGAAAAAGAGAAAAGAAACAAAACAAAACAAAGCGGTGTAAGGGTACAAGTAATACAGAACTACAAAAAAAAAAAAAAAAACCGCAAGAAATGACGAGTTAATAGATTACACATTATCATCTTAGAGATAGTTGCTCGTCGGTATCAAAGCATACAAAGTGAACATTCAAACAGAGACTGCAAACAGTTGTGTTCAATGATCCAACCAAAAACATTAATATGGTCAGCTATTTAACACCCCTAAACACACTTGCAGTTGTATCCATTAGAGCACTTTTTCCCCCTCTCTTTTTTACAACAAAATTTACACATTTTGGGTTTTATTATTCCTTAGTTCTTATTACTTTTTTTTTTTTTTTGGAAGAGAATAAAGTCAAATAGGCAAAACAAAGCTGTCAGTCAAAACCAAGGATACACATAGTATATGACGTAAAAGGTTATCAACAATGGTTACCATAATGCCTCTTGCTTCCTTAAAAAGAATTGTCTATCTCATCAGGTATTATAAAGCTCAACAAAACAGTAGAGAATAAGACCAATAAAACTTAAACATTGTAAACATTACAGAACTTCCAAAGGAGATAATAGTCAAACCAGAATGGACATCTTAGTGAATTTTATTGCCTTCAAAGTAGTTGCCTATACCCTCAAACTTGATACTATCACACAGAACGGAACAGAGTCTAATCAGTCAAAACAAGATAGTGGGAGTATTATAGGACTTCAAATCAAGTTAATAGGAAATCAAAAAGTTACTATATCCTGGTAATTTTTTAAATTTTTCCCCTTAATAAAAAAACAATAAAAAATAACTAATTTTTTTAATGAATAAGGGAGAGATTGAGATAAAAGAGGACATAACAACATAACAATAGAGGTCAAAGCATGATTGTTTTAGCAACCTAGTGCTTCAGCACCAAATAACCCGACTTAATAGTAGTTACCATAGCGTCTGTCTTTTTCCTTGAAATATTTGAATATAACTTCATATACTATAGCTTCAAATATTTCCATATCAAGAAGCCCAGAATAAAGCCATTCCAATTAATAAGTGACAACTTTATAAGGCTTCAAGGCCACATAATGGGGAATCATGATTACCACATACTTTTATATATTTGAATCATTACTTACATTAGGGAAACTATTGGGTATTCACACATGTGAGACTGATTTATTTCACTTATGAGTATGGTCTCAAGCTGCGCCCATTTATTGATAAATATCTCAATGTGATCCTTCTTTATAGCTGAGTAATACTCCACTGTATAGAAATACCACACTTTTTTTATCCATTCCTCAGTTGATGGACACTTGGGTTGTTTCCAAGATCTGGCGATTACAAATTGTGCTGCTATAAACATGGGTGCACATATATCACTGTGGTATGATGCTTTCAGTTCTTCTGGGAATATGCCAAGAAGTGGCATAGCTGGAATAAATGGGACTTCCAATCCCAGCTTTTTGAGAAATCTCCAGACTGACCTCCACAAAGGTTGTACCAGTCTACACTCCCACCAACAGTGTAGAAGAGTTCCTTTTTCCCCACAGCCTCTCCAGCATTTGTTGTTGTTGGTTTTCTTGATCCTGACCATTCTTTCAGGAGTGAAATGGAATCTCAGTGTGGTTTTAATTTTCATTTCTCTAATGACCAATGATGATGAACATTTTTTCATGTATTTGCCATTTGTATTTCTTCATCTGAGAAGTGCGTATTCATCTCAGATGCCCATTTTTGGATTGGATCTTTGAATTTTGGGGGTCTGAGTTTTTTAAATTCTTTATATGTTTTAGACAAGAGTTCCTTGTCTGAGAGAGAGTTCACTAAAATCTTTTCCCAGTTTGTGGGTTTTCTTTTCACTATGCTGGAGATTTCTTTTGACATGCAGAAACTTTTTAATAAGAAGTGGTCCCAGTTATTGATTCTGGGAAGTATTTCCAGTGAGGTTTGAGTCCTGTTCATGAATTCTCTATCTACCCCTATGTCTTCAAGGTTTCTACCCAATTTGTCTTCCAATAGATTTAGTGTTTCTGTTTTAATATTCAGATCTTTGACTCATTTAGATTTTAATTTAGTACATGGTGATAGGCATGGATCTACCTTTAGTTTTCAGCAAATGGAGAGCCAGTTTTTCCAACACCATTTATTAAAGAGACTGTCGTTCTTCCAGTGAACTTGCTTGGCTCCTTTATCAAACATAAGGTGGTTGAGTGTGTTTGTAGTTGTGGTTGTATCTTCTAATCTATTCCATTGATCTTCAGCTCTGTTTTGATTCCAGTACCATGTTGATTTTACTACTGATGCTTTGTAGTATAACTTCAAGTCAGGGATTGTGATGCCTCCTGCCTTGTCTTTGCTGCTTAGAATTGCTTTTGCTATTCTACATCTCTTCTGGTTCCAGATGAATTTTAGGAGTGATTTCTCTAGATTTATAAGGTATGTTGATGGCATTTTTATTGGGATTGCATTGAATCTGTGTAACAGTTTTGGGAGAATGGCCATTTTTACAATGTTTGTACTTCCTATCCATGACCAAGGGATGTCTTTCCATTTTCTGAGATCATCTTCAATTTCTTTTTTCAGTGTATTATAATTTTCCTTGTATAGGTCTTTCGTAAGAGTAATTCCTAAATATTTCATTTTTTTTGCTTGCTAATGTGAAGAGTGTAGTTTCTCTTATTTCCCTCTCTGTGATTTTGTTGTTAGTGTATAGGAATGCTATTGATTTCTGAGTATTGATTTTGTATCCAGCTACATTACTGAATTTATTTATTATATCTAAAAGTCTTTCAATGGAGTTTAGGGGGTCTTCTATGTAGAGTATCATGTCATCTGCAAACAATGATAATTTAACTTCTTCTTTTCCTATCTTTACCCCTTTTATTTCTCCCTCTTGTCTAATTGCTCTGGCTAGTACTTCCAGTACTATATTAAATAGGAGTGGTGATAAAGGACATCCTCGTCTTGTGCCTGATTTTCAAGTAAAGGCTTTCAATTTTTGGCCATTTAGTATGATGCTGGCTGTTGGTTTGTCATAAATGGCCTTTATTATATTGAGGTAAAGACCATCTATTCCAATTTTCTGTAAAGTTCTTATCTTGAATGAATGTTGGACCTTTTCGAAGGCTTTTTCTGCATCTATAGAAATGATCATGTGATTCTTACTTTTGGCTTTATTGATATGGTGGATTACATTTATTGATTTACGTATGTTGAACCATCCCTGCATTCCTTGGATGAATCCCACTTGGTCATGGTATATAATCTTCTTGATGATTTGCTGCATCCTACTTGCCAATATTTTATTGAGGATTTTTGCATCTGTGTTCATTAGGGAGATCGGTCTATAGTTCTCTTTTTTAGTTGGGTCTGTCTCAGGTTTTGGTACTAGAGTAACATTTGCTTCCAGGAATGACTTAGGAAGGATTGCTTCCCTTTCAATTTCATTGAATAGTTTGAGGAGTGTCGGCATTAGGTCTTCTTTGTATTTTTTGTAGAATTCTGCAGTGAATTCATCTGGGCCTGGGCTCTTCTTTGTAAGTAAGGACTTAATTACATCTTCAATTTCATTAATAGAGATTGGGTTATTTAGCAGTTTTACATCCTCTTGATCTAGCTTTGGTACTTCATATGTTTCTAAGAATCTGTCCATTTCTTCTGTGTTATCAAACCTTTGAGAGTAGAGGTTTTTGAAATAGGTGTTGATGATCTTCTGTATTTCTGTAGAGTCTGTAGTGATTTCACATTTTCATTTCTTATTGCATGAATTTGAGCTTTTTCTTCCCTTTTTTAAATAAGGTTGGCTAGGGGCTTATCGATTTTATTTGTTCTTTCAAAGAACCAACTCTTTGATTCGTTGATTCTTTGGATTGTTTTCTTAGTCTCTACTGCATTAATTTCTGCTCTGATTTTTATAATTTCCTCTCTTCTTTTGGCTTTGGGCTTGACTTGCTCTTCTTTTTCTAGCTGTTTGAGGTATAGCATCAGGTTATTTATTTGTATTCGTTCTGTTTTCTTGATGTGGGAACTCAGTGCAAAAAATTTTCCTCTGAGGATGGCTTTCATTGCATCCCACAGATTCCGGTACGTTGTATCTGCATTTTCGTTTTCTTGTAGGTATTGTTTAATTTCTTTTGTGACCCACTGATTACTCAAGAGTGTGTTATTCAGTTTCCATGTGTTCGTAGGATTTTTGCAGTATCTTTATCATTAATTTCTAATTTCAGAGCGCTATGATCCGATAACATGCAAGGGATGATTTCAACTCTTTTGCATTTGTTTAAATATGTTCTGTGAGCTAATATATAGTTTATTTTAGAGAATGATCCATGAACTGCTGAGAAGAATGTGTATTCTGATGTTGTTGGGTGGAATATTCTGTATATGTCTATCAAATCCATTTGTTTGCAGGTGTGATTCAGTTCTGTTATTTCTTTGCTCATTTTCTGTCTGGTTGATCTATCCCTTGGTGTCAATGGCATATTAAGGTCTCTTGTTACAATTGTGTTACTGATAATTTGAGTTTTCATTTCTGTTAATAGTTGTTTTATATAACTGGGTGCTCTGGAGTTTGGTGCATATATATTTAAGATAGTTATCTCTTCCTCTTGGAGTTTTCCCCTAACGAGTATGTAGTGACCTTCTTTGTCCTTTATGGTCATTGTTGGTTTAAAGTTCACGTTGTCTGCAAACAGAATGGCTACTCCTGCTTTTTTTGGATTCCTGCTGCATGAAGTATTGTTTTCCATCCTTTGACTTTCAGTCTGTGAGTATCCTTCTGGGTTAGATGGGTTTCCTGTAAACAGCATATGGTTGGATTTTGTTTCTTTATCCATTCTGCTAGTCTGCTTCTTTTGATTGGTGCATTGAGACCATTTACATTAATGGTTATAACTGTTAAATGCTGGTTTATTGTTGACATGTTATCTCTCTGCTGTTGCATATTTATCTTTCTGTTCTGTTTAATTATTTGCTTTGCTTAGTGGTTTTTTCCTTTATGTATCTGAACTGTCTTTCAATATCCTTTGCAGGGTTGGCTTGGTGTTCATGAAGTTCTTCAGCCGTTCTTTGTCATGGAAGTATCATATTTCACCATCAATTTTGAATGTTAGTTTTGCAGGGTACATCAGTCTAGGTTGGAAATCATTTTGCTTTAGGATCTGGAATACTTCACTCCATGCTCTTCTTGACTTTATTGTTTGTGCTGAGAAGTCTGCTGTGATTCTGATAGGTTTTCCTTTATAAGTGATCTGTCTTTTCTCTCTGACAGCTTTTAATAATCTATTCTTGTGTTGGATTTCTGGGATGGTGATTATTATATGTCTGGGTGTAGTTTTATTTTGGTTATGACTATTTGGAGTTCTATATGCTTCACTGATCCTGATGTCAGTTTCTGATCTCATGCTTGGGAAATTTTCAGCTATTACTTCTCTAAATATCCTCTTGACATCCTTTATGTTGTCTCCTTCTTTTTCATTAATCTCTATCAATCTTGTTATTTTTCTTTGCATCATCTTGCAGTTGCTGAATTATTTCCTGATTCCTTGTTATTTTTAAAAGATCTTTCCTTTCCTGTTCACTAGCTGCAATCCTGTCTTCGAGGTCTGAAATTCTATCTTCATTTTCATTGAGGCGGTTTTTACAACTTTCAGTGGAGTTTTTTATTTCTTGTATATCTCTGTGCATCTGCATTATGTATTCTGTTTGTTTCTTATATTGCTCATCTAGGGATTCTTTTTGTTTAGTTCTTCCAATTTTTTAACTGTGTTTTATTTAGATATATTCTGAATCTCTTTCATTTCTTTTATCATTTCTTCTTTACCTGGGAGATTATTTTGAGTTTGAATTCCTTTAAAGCTTCCTGGAGTTGCTTGTTAATTTCAGTAGCTATTATGTCTGATATTTGAGGTGAATGGCATATATTTTCTTCTATATACATCGCTTCTTGAGATGGGCTGGAGGTTTGAGGTTGTAATTTGGTCTTTCATTTTGTCATTTTCCTATATTTCTGTGTTTCAAGTGTTATTTGAAAGTTTCCTCAGGGTCTGTTGGAAATCCACTTCTATGTTCCCAACTCCTGAGACTCTGGCACCCAGTTCCCCCAAGCCACTGGGCCTGTTGATCCAATGGCCCTCTTCTGCCTGTTTAGAACTCCGTAGTTCCAGACACTGTGTTAGAACTCCAGGGACACTGTGCGCCCACCTGCTTGCTGGAAGCTCCACAGTTCTCCAAGAATGGGGCCAGAATGGGGAGGCGGATGTAGATGCCTCAAACCACTTCACTGCACCCAGAAGCCTGGAGGGTCCTGAACAGTCTGGGTTTGTGGCAGAGTGCACTGAGCACTTACCGCAGGTCACGGGGCCTCTGGAACCTGCGATGCTCACCTGCTTGCTGAGATATCCACAGTCCTCCAGACACACGGGGAGGCGGATGCAGGTGCCCCAGATCCGCCCAGCCCTTCCTCTGCACCCAGGTGCGATGCAGGAGTCCCAAATAGGCTGGGTTCTGGGGATAGTGTGCGCCGGCCTGCTTGCTGGAAACTCCACAGTTCTCCAAGCGCAGCCGGAATGGGGAGGCGGATGTAGATGCCTCAAATCCCCTTATCCACTTCCATATATTTATTTTGAAGGAGGGACTTGCTCAATTGCCCAGGCTTGGCTTAACTTGTCATCCTCCTGCCTCAGCCTTCCAGAGTGCTGAGGTTATGGATGTGTACCACATACAGCCAGTTCATTTACTTTATTTTGTGCAAGACAATCTCCAAATAATTTATACCATAAGATCCTACATTCCTACAGTTTCATCCATAAAATAAATTAAAAGGGAGGATCGTATTTGTAACCATCTACATTTAGGATGATGGAAAAAGTACAATTAAGATTACAAATACCTGAATAAATCAGATTATATTCTCTGGAGAAAATATCAAATTAATTCAAATTGTTCAAAACAAATTATTACTGTTTACTTAAAGAAATCTGCTACAAAACATACATGTATTAAAAGATATGAACGTTCTAGCTTCAAACACAAATTTCTCCTCTGAAAATATAAACAGAAGCAGTTTGTATATAAGTATAGTACTTTAGTTCATGGGTTGGTAACTTCCTCTCACACAAGAGATAGAGAAAAAGTCCTATTCTAAGACTTCCACACACATTCTAATGAAAAATTTATTCGGGTTAACAAGATGTTCCTGCAGAGGGGAGGGGGATTTTTTGAGGTGTCTGGTAGACATGTGCCTCTCAGTAAACTACATCGATCAACCAATTTTAGCTAGGTCTGCCCATTGCTGAGAATTAACGGAGCAAGAGAACACACACAATTTTGAAGTACAGGGCACTTCTCAAAGAAAGAGGATTTGCAGGAGCCACCAAGTAGAACACATTCACAAGACAAGCAGAAAGGAGTATAAGGAAAAAAAGGGAAGAGAAAACAAGTGTAACACACTTGGCCTTCCTGCCACTACTTCATGACATACCTGTGCCCCATTAAAGCCACTGTGACATTCGTTTGTATAATTGGCATACAATTAGTCTCTTAGCACTGGCATTATTTCTTTCTACTTCTCGTAATTAATGCTCAAATAACTCAAAACACTAAGTGACAACATCCCAAGGTGTCATGTTAACATTGTCTCTGAAAACAGATGTCCTCAGCGGATAAAGTTGACAGCCCCCTTAGGTTTCATGCCTGAGACATTTACCTCCTTAATGGATGGTTCAGTCCCCACATGGTCCATGAGCTTGTAGGTGGCAGCAACAAATAATGCTGTGGTTTCCAGCCCCTCTTCAAACTGGAGATACACACCCCCCAGTTCATCCAGGCGAGCCACGAGGTCCTGTTACAGTAAAACAGAAACCACAGTGAGATGAGTCACCAAGTGACCACAGAGAGATGAGATGTCCGCCCAGCGCAGACAGTTCTGAAATATTTCTCACTCTAAATCTAAAGCCCACTTCAGGCACTCAGCACTTTCTCACAAAAGGTGCCTAGACAGAGGGTCAAGCGTATCATACTGACACCCTCGGAGAACAGTATCTTCAACAGCTCTGGGAGCACACCAGCCCAAGTCCAGGAGCTATGACACCAAGGGCACCAGCTGCTCTGGGGAGAAGGCCAGAGGGTCAGGCTGCAGTATACCTAAGAAGCATCACGCTAAGACATATTCTGTGTCTAAGAATACCTAAGACAAATTCTGTGGTCCCCCATTCGGAGACAACCTATGAGCACAATACTGTCATCTCTTAGTTAACGCTCTACAACACGACAGACTGCTCGCCTGGGCAACAACATATCTTGGCAGTTGAGGTGCCTGTGAAACATAGGGCAATGACCTGTCAGGCCTGCCTGTTAATACTGACTCTGCAGTCCACAAGTGTTCCTGAAGAGCAGGATGACCTGGGCAAAGACAGCATAATAATAAAAAACCAGTGGCCACTTACTGAACATCTACTAACTACCTAGGTTCTTTAGAACCTCAATTGTTCCTATGACAATCATATTACCTAAAATTACAAAGCAGTAAGCAACAGGAAAAAAATGTGTGAGTTTTTAGGTTTATTGGATTCTAAATTCTGTATACTATTAGACTGTCCCTACAAAAGGCTGGGGAAAAAAATCTGTTGCCTCATTTACAGTGTAATTATATTAGTTTCAGAAATATTCCCCAGGATGCACTGCTCTAACGTAAGGAACAGAAGTGTAACATGAATATGAAATATCACTAGTAGTAGCAATCATGCATGTCTGTGTGCAAGATTCTCTTGAAAGGTATCAAAGACACAAGGTAAGAAGAGACTCATTTGGCCAAACACATTCATACCTCAATCTCCTCCACAATGTTCCTCAGATCAGCCTCCTGGGACAGATGGGATGCTGTCTGCAGAGCCTGGACCGTTCTAAAAGATAAGAATAGAATATTGAGCAAACAAATTAGTTGTATTTATAAGGGATATGCTTCTATGGAAATTAGGATCCAACCAAGGTGCACGTGGCATCCCTAATGTTGTACAAAACTACATTAGGCCAATATTAATAAAGTCTTTTTTCCTTACTCAAGGTAAAACAAATTGTAAAATTAACATTTGTAGACTGTTAGGTAAAATTTGGGGCAACTTTTCTGAAACCAGTAATACAACATAAAGATGAAATATTCAGTAGACGTGTGCTGAAAACGTATGTATTATCTGTACTACTATCATCCTGCTAGAAGACCCAAATGTCACTCATCTCTCAGTAAATACGATGAAAGGCACAAAAGGTCCTAAACTATAATTTATTCTTACTTTAATTTTTTCTTATTCTACCATTTATTCTTTATTATAAAAGTACTTATAGTATTCGTCAAAACTTCTGATGTTTTAAATTCCTGTAATGCTTACCTTTAAATACAACTACTCTCCAACTTAAGTTTTTTTTTTCTTTTAAAAGCATGGTTTATTTTTAAGAGAATAAAACAGAATACACTCAAAACAAAACAATGAGTGTGAAACAAAACTTCAAACAAGATAAAAGAAAACCAACAATGGCCTCCTGTTATCTTCAAAATAACTTTCTATACCATCAGGTACAATGAAATCAAACAGAACAAAACAATGAAAGCAACACAGAACTTCAAAACAAGACAATAGGAACACAACAGTGGCTAACATAATGCATCCTGCCATCTTCAAAGTAGCTGCTTATACCATCAGACATAATAAAACCAAAATCAAAAGAAAACAAAGCAATACCAAGCTTCAAAACAAGGTAAATGGAAATCAATAATGGCTAGTATAAGCCGGGTGTGGTGGCTCATGCCTGTAATCCCAGCACTTGGGAGGCTGAGGCAGGAGGATCGTTGCGTGTCCGAGACCAGCCTGGGTTACAAAAGTGAGCTCAAGGCCAGCCTGAACTGCATAGAGAGACCCTGTCTCAAAAAGACAAAAAAAAAAAGGCTAGTATAATACATTTTGCTATCCTTGCAACAGCTGTCCAGGCCACCACATACAACAAAATCAAACAAAACAAAACAAAACCAAGCCAAACAGAACAACAAAACAATACAAAGTTCCAAAACAGGATATATATTAACCATGGCCATTGCCTCACCCCTGTAGACATCTTCTCCTCTTCCATTTTAACGATATCGATTGTGTATTTTGGATCCCACTAACTCCTTTAGTTTTTCATACGAGGGAGACAACACAACGTTCACCCAAGTGACTGTGAACCATTTTACTTGTGAGCATGATCCCAGGGTGTATCCATTTACTCACAAGAGCCTTGAGGGTATCTTTCTTTACAGCTGAGTAGCTTTCCACTTGTTTAGAAATGCCATATCTGGACCAGGGATTTAGCTCAGTGGCACAAGCACCTGCCTGGCAAGTGCGAGGTCATGAGTTTGATCCCCAGGACCGCTAAAACAACAACAAACAAACCCAGAAATGCCATATCTTTATCCATTCCACAGTTAATGGGCAAGTTACCCCTATGTTTTTTGATTCCCTTTCACATAGAGCATTGTTTTTTCTCCTTTGACTTTTGGTCTATGAATTTCCTTTAAGTTAAATGTGTTTCTTGAATAAAGCATTTTGATGGATTTTATCTCCTGATCCACTCTGCCTGTGTTTCTTTTTATTAGTAAATTGAGGCCATCAGCATTAAAGGTTATGGACAACATGCAATGGCTCATCTCTGCCATGCTATTTTTCTGCCATTGGCTGCCTACTTCTCCCCTCTATTCAACTGTCTGCCCCACTCGGTGACTCCCTCTGTCACTGTTCCTGGGACTGTGGTCTTTTTTATCTCTCTCTAGAATGTCCTTCAGTATTCTTTGTAGGGTTGGTTTGGTGATTATGAGTCCCTTCAGTTGCTCTTTGTCATGGAAGTATCTTGTTTTTCTATTAATTTTGAAAGATAGTTTTGCAGGGTACATCAATCTGGGTTGGAAGTTGTTCTTTCAGCACTTGAAATACTTCACTCCAAGCTCTTCTTGATTTGATGGTTTGTGTTGAGAAGTTTGTTATGACTCTAACGGGTTTTCCTTTATAGGTGATCTGTTTCTTTTCTCTAATAGCTTTTAATAATCTGTCCTTGTGTTGAATTTCTGAAATCTTGATTATTATCTGAGTGTAGATTTATTTTGGTTATGAGTAGCTGGAGTTTTATGTGCCTCACTTGTTGGTAGGTCACATCTTTTTCCCATGTATGTAAAGTTTTCTGCTATTATTTCTTTAAGTAGAACTTTAATGTCATTTGTGTTGACCCGTTTTACCACTGACACCTATTCTTCAGTTATCTTGCTTTGCATCATCTTGCAGTCACTGAATTGTTATTTCCTGGTTCCTTGTTATTTTTAAGAGATTTTTCACAATTGCAAGCTGCATACCTGAAAGTCTATCTTCAGTTTCTTTCAAACAGTTTTGCCAGCTTTCAACTGAGTTTTTAATTTCCTGGATATCTCTTTGAATCTGTTTCATACATTCTAAATCTCTCATATTATTTTCATGGTTCCCTTCATTTTCCTATTCTCCATTTTTTTAAAATCTATGTCTTCTTTAGAGACGCTTAGCAATTCCTTTATTATGTTTTTCATTTCTTTTTTTACCTGAGATAATATCTCTATTCTGACTTCTTTTATAGCCTCATGAAGTTGTCTCCTGACCTCAGTTGCCATCACTTCAGAAACTTCAGGTATACCACTCCTGATCTCCTCCATGTTTTCATCTCCTGGACCTGCTCTGCTTGGGTTGTAGTCCGGGGACTTTTTGCTTCTTCATCTTGACATTTTCTTGGGTTCTTCCAAATAAGCAGGTAGTGGGGTCCCAGGCACTTCCCATGTTAGCAGTAATTTCTCGGCAATGTGACTATTTCTCCTGGGTTCTCCAAATCAATGCTGGCTACGGGTATCCAATGGTGGCCACTGGGTGCACTGGTGCTGGGCTGGCTGCTGTTTTTCCCAACACATGCTGGCAACTTGGGGCGGAAGTGTCCTCAGGACTGCTGGAGTGCACGTGGAGACAGAGTCAGCAGCTGCCTCTCAACCTGAGCTTGTTACTGGTGGGCAGTGCCTTCTGATGGCTGCTAGAGTGTGCTCAACTTGCTTAAATTTAATAATCTATGTACAAATCTTTCTTTATGAGTATGATAACTGTACTTCATTCTCAATGGCATATTATGTACTATAATGCCAAACTTTCTTTTTAAATAAATGCTATAAAGGACAACCATTATCAATATAAAATTTTAAATTTATTAAGGCAAAATTCACATTAACAAAATTGATCATTTAAAAATGATTAGTTTGAGGCTGGGGATTTAGCTCAGTGGCTAATTGCCAGGAACACACACACAAAAAAGATTAGGTTAGTGGCATTGACAACATTCACAATTTTATATAACCACTACCTACTTAGATTCAAAACATGTGCATTGACTCAAAGTAAAACCCATTAAGCAGTGTCTCCTCATTTTGCCTACCCTCACCTCTGGCAATCTCCAATCTATGTTCTATCACTAAAAATGTATCTATCGGAATATTTAATATAAAGGATTATAATACAAAACATGGCATTTTTTTCAAAACTGTTATCTACTTTATTTAAAAATATATAATATTTGACATGTACAAGTTAAGATTGCTGGATTTCTGAAATTCCACACAGAACTGATACAACAGAGAAATCTACAGCAAGTTAATCATTCAGACTGCCAGTTCCATCCAATAATTTAACACTATAGTATTTGGGGAAAATGAAAGATTTAATGTTAACAGTAATGAAGAAAAACCAGTCATTTGTAACATGCCGCTATAATTAGAATAACCAGACCATGGGTTACTGAAACAAGTAACTCCAATAGCAAATTTAGAGCTTCTTTAAAACAAAAACAAATTCAAGACTCTGAATTGATGCAAATACTCTACATTTGAGAAAAAACACTCTTCTTGTGAACTTTCACCCACAGCCAAATGTCCTCATGGTTTACAGAGGGATCAGCTCTGGCTCTGTGACTTCAGCCGTGCTCTCAGGGTTTGGATTCAGTGACTGGAAGGACAGCTCCCAGGCTGGGAAGGAATGGAACTCCCAGTTGGGATGACCTGTCAAATGCCAGGAACAATGATACCTGTTTTGGGGGGAGCAGACTTACATATTAGAATTACAGGAATAAAAAGGAAAAATTTAAAGTTAAAATACGTGTTCCAAAATCTATGCATTACTGCTTCATGTTGGCTTAAATTTCTCTAACAAGGTCTAGTGTGAAAAACTCACATAATGAGAATTTGGAGAGCTGAGACATGCTTATTCTTGCTGAATACATTTCCAGTGTATACCTTTGCATTTTGTTCAGGGCCACCACTACATTTTAGGGGCTTTAGAAATGCTGGTCATTTTTTAAAAAGTATAACTATGTCTTGTTTCTAAGTTTCAGTATAATACTTGACCAGGAAAAAGTTCATGAACATTGCACTGACTTTCAGGTTTTACATCTCATTCCTGAAAAAACAAGACAATGCTGAACATTTTTCAAAACAGAAGTTAAAAACTTTTTTAGATGAACTACACAGGCAATAGCAAAGTCAAAAGGAAAGCCATAAGTCTGCTGCCCAGCTGAACGAAGTGGGAGGAAAACTTTAAAATGGTCTGCCATAGAGTGCAAGGCAAACAGGACTCAAAGGTTAATGGAGAGGGTGTCCCTCGCTAAAGTAACGATGACACATCGTTAAAGGAAGACACATTTGTGTCTGCCCACTTCAAGCTCTTCTTAAATCATGAATGGGACTCAGTTTAGGGAAATAGTTTAATGTACCCCTCAGGAACAAAAAGTTTGTATTTTTACATAACAAACCAAACACTGGTTATGACATCCAGCACCACCAAGCAACCTTCATTCTGTCCCATATAGCGGAAAGCAAATC